ATGCGAAAGTGGCTTTAGCTTCTCAGTGCTGTGCTTTACCCCGCTGCGCCACCAGGGAGGGCCCGAAGAGTGAGAAATTTTTAAATTATTATAGAACTGAGTGATGTATCCCACTGGTTTTGGGCCTTTCGTTCTTGGTTTAATCTTTTAGAATACTTCTAATGACATACATTTAAAAGAACACGTGTTTCTCATTTTCCTCATCTTACTGAGTTTACGACTCTTCCTTCTCATTACTTCTCTGTGTAATTCATATTGTTGAAAGCACTAGTTAGCTATGAGATTGAGTGAGGAGTTCTTAGTAGTGTATGCTCATGAACTGTTCTTCCCCACCTAATCTTGCAGGACTAAAAATCTTAAGAGTAATAAATGAACCTACAGCAGCAGCTATGGCCTATGGTCTCCACAAGGTTGATGTCTTTCATGTCTTGGTGATAGACTTGGGCGGAGGAACTCTAGATGTGTCGTTGCTGAATAAGCAAGGAGGAATGTTTGTAACTCGAGCAATGTCAGGTACGGAAAAACGTAGGAAGACTTAAATAAGCTCAGGCACATTAGCATAGTTAATGTATAAAATATTAAAAGGGAAGTTGAAAAGTAAGTGGACAAGGAAACAAAAGGGGTGATGGTGGTGGAAAAGAGCTGAGCCTTGATCAACCATAGTTTGAACTACACAGACTCATTTATATGTGGGTCCTTATTTTCATTAAATATAGTTGACCCTCCAGATCCATAGGTTCCACGTTCATGGATTCAACTAGCTGAAAATGTGCACCCCTTGAATGAAATAATACTGTTTTCAAGTAGCTACTTAAAAGCCAGTCTGTTTTTTCAGTCTTTATTTTCTGAAAAATCAATCGTATCTCAGATGTGCAATTTTTTAATAGTACACATTTAAGCTAAAATATTAATCCAGTTACTTTTCATCAGTTTTTAATATGAATAAAATCCTAATAAAGCATTAAACAATATTTTCTTTTCCTGATATTCCTAAAAATTTCATTTTTATATATGCATATTACAGACACATGTGAACACATATTTATGCACGTATATATACAAGAATAACAAACTTTTTGTTTTTAACTTAGGAAACAATAAACTAGGAGGACAGGACTTCAATCAGAGATTGCTTCAGTACTTATATAAGCAGATTCATCAAACATATGGTTTCCTACCATCTAGGAAAGAAGAAATCCACAGATTAAGACAAGCCGTAGAAATGGTAAAATTAAATTTGACTCTTCATCAGTCTGCCCAGGTGTCAGTATTACTAACAGTAGAGAAAGAAGACAAGAAAGAACCTCAGAGTAGTGAACTGCTCAAGGACAGACTTTCCCCAGCAAAGGGCCACCGTGTGAACGGAATGCTTGGAGCTAGCCATCTTCAACAGAAAAGTGGAGAAAGTCAGGTTTTATTTGAAACAGAAATCTCACGGAAGCTCTTTGACACCCTTAATGAAGATCTGTTTCAGAAAATACTTGTCCCCATTCAGCAAGTATTAAAAGAAGGCCACCTGGAAAAGACTGAAATTGACGAAGTGGTTTTGGTCGGTGGCTCCACTCGTATTCCTCGAATCCGCCAAGTCATTCAGGAGTTCTTTGGGAAGGATCCCAACACATCTGTAGACCCTGACCTGGCAGTGGTGACAGGAGTGGCTATCCAGGCAGGGATTGATGGAGGCTCGTGGCCTCTTCAAGTCAGTGCTTTAGAAATTCCCAATAAGCATTTACAAAAGACCAACTTCAATTGAATTTGGAACAATGATTATCACTTGTGATCTTGTCTGACGATCTTTTCCTTTAAGCAGACCACTCCAAAAGAGAAGGTCTCTAAAACATCTCACAACTTTACCTAAAAGGCAGAAGTTAGATACACATAACTTTTTTTTTTTAAAGATTGAATGTGACCAGATCAATCCCTTTGATTTTGGAGAAAATCCATTCCAACAGATACTTTTACAATGATAGAAATGAGGTAAAACAGGAGCACAAGTTGCTGTATTTTCTGGATTTCTGTAGTAGAGAACCATATGCTCTTAAAATTATTTACTACAAATATTGCCTTGTGCCAATTACAGGATTCCCGGTTCTTACTAAATTGTATTAGCAGGAGCTGGTAATATATTTACTTGACTAACACATGTAACTATTTGAACTATACTTGAAGGATGGTGTTGATGTCAGGTATTTACATTGGCTGTGATCTAGCAGTATTACTAATATAAGCTGCACATATGATGTTCACTAACTGCCATATAGCAAATTTACTTTCATAACTATAATATTGCATTAAGTGTCCTGTTTATGTAAATACAGTCTCCAGCTTTTTAAAGTATATTTATTGGGTCAATTTGTTTTTCTTCTAAGCTAGTGACAGAGTTATTCAGATAGTAAAAATACTTATATGCTGTTCATCTGCTGTACCTCATTCTCTGTAGTTTTCCATGATTCTGCCTGGGAATTTTTAGTAGCAGTTTTAAAATGTGTTAATGTCACAATAAAGTCATCATAACTATCGCTTTCCTTGCTATCCAAGACATTTGTGACATTTGTAAATAGCAGCAATTAGCTATTATGCTTGTGTATAATTTTTGTCTTTGTTTATTCTTAAGAAGCCTTAGAGAATTTAATTAGCATTTGAACTATCAAATCATACTTGATTCAGTTTTAGAGATCCTATTTAGTTTTGAATGAGGGAGAAATATGCTCAGATGTAAAAATCTTAGCTTTGTTTCCTGCTGTCGTTTTAAGTCACACTTGAACTGTTCTCAGCCTTAAGGTCAAATGAAACTGCATTGTGAATACTGGAAGCATTGTGGACTCTGCTGCGGAAGGCCCTGTGACACGTTCACACAGGAACTTGTGTAGCTGCTGCTTGTTTTGGTTTGGTTTGGTTGATTTCCTTTTAGAAAAACTACAGGGACCAAAAAGTACGGTTCTATTTCTGTAATGCCCTTATCACTAGGTTCCTTTTGTTCCTTGTTAAAGGCATGCTTCATTTCAATATTCAAAAATTATACTCTGGCCAACATTTTTATCAATGTAAAGTATGTCAGCCTTAGCCATGATTGAATTTGAGAGGATGTTGAATTTTCAGTCACCAAAAAGAGAACTACAAACCACTCCAGCGATATTAAAACATTTCACCTTCTCCGTAAAAAGCTGAATGTTAACATTTTTTGCAGGTCTGTGAAGAAGTTTCTTAGCAAAGCAGTTGTTCTTATAAAAAGTTTCAAATAATTCTGTGTGTAGAAAATGTCTATGGTAGATATTAGAAAAGCAAAATGCTTGTTAACATTTTATTTTAGAACTAAAGGAGAAATGCCAAAGATGAATCCTTCACTGCATTATGAAAATATTAAGTGTTTTCTTGGGATTTGTATAACTCTTCAGTAAATTTTATTATTGAATAAGGTCTTCTTGTAAAGATCTTTAAGAGAAAAATGTTCAGTTTATCAGAATCTCCACATACAACATCAGCTGTAACTTCTAAAGCATTTTAAGAATTTTAAAAATAAATTTATAGAATGTAGTTCAGGACAATCTATCAATAACTTTTAGTGGAAATAATTTGCAGAACGGCAACTAATATCATACATTAAAATTGAGATATGAATAGTTTATGAAAGTACAATGACAGTGATTGGATTTGTAGGCAATTGTTTAGCATTCTCTCTAGTTACACCTGGATGATGTCTGCCTTCAATCATATTGTTGGGGACTCTAGCCTTGACTTCAGTGTAGTTTATTTAAAAGACAAAAATGCATCCTGAAAGGGATCATCTATGCTAATTGAAGAATTTTTCACAAGCTAAACTACATTTTGGTTGCACATTTAGCTAGTGTTTTATGAAGTATGTAACTTAAAATATTGACAGTCTTGTATAGTTACAATATGTGAATTAGTAATTTATTTTGTATCAGGAATGTTTTGGTACTGTGTTCTTACTCAAACCTCTGACTTGCCAACACTTAACTACTGCACATCACATTTACTGAAGATTGTAGTTACTGTGTATAACAGTGTGCCTCTTAAATTTATGTGTAATTCACATTCTAATGTAAATAAATACCACTTCGCAGATTGTTTTTTAAACTGTATTTTTCATTCAGTGTTCATTTTTTTGAATTGTATAAATAAGAAAGTGGGGATAGAGCTGATTCGATCCTCATAGTTTGTGACCTCAGCAGCTTTTCCTCATTCCCTGTTAACTTGACTGTCTCTGGGATAGTTTATATCCATCTCTGCTTGTTGCCCTAATTTACAAGAGACAGTTTCTGTATCATATAAACAGTTCCTCCTGAATTCTGAATGCTCATTCATGGATTTTGTCTGTAACTAATGCACATAGCTAGTATTGCAGTATAGACTATTTCTATGGTTGATGGTTAATACTTTATCATTTTCTTTTATTTTTTTATATATTTTATTTTTCACATCTTTCTTCATTTTGTGCATTTTTTCAGCTCAGTTGTAATCCCCATGGGCTTCCCACCACCAGTTCACCCGTGTGCCATCACCACAGTCCAGTGCACTCCTCCCATCCATGTTCCGATCCCATTTCTCTTCTTATCCCCATAAATTATTCCTAGTTTATAGTTGTTCATTGATTTCATTTTTACTCTACTACATTTGTTTGTCTTTTTCCTCTAATCCCTTATGCTCCAGCTATGAGTGAAACCATCCTGTATTTTTCTTTCTGGCTTATTTCACTAAGCATGATCCCTTCCAGCTCCATCCATTTAGGCATTTGGGTTGGTTCCATGTCTTCCCTATCATAAATAGAGCAGCACTAAAAATGGGGGTGCAGGTGTCTTTTTGGATCAGTATTTTTTTGTCTTTAGGGTAGATACCTCGGAGTGGGATTGCTGGGTCATATGGAAATACTTAATATATTTTCTAAAAAGGTTTGTATTATTCTTTGGACCAAAACTTCAATATAACCTTTTTAAAGAAAGTCATTCAAATAGTGTCTTTTCAAAATAGCCCTTATATAAAAATGGTAGGCTTCACTCACTGATTGTGATTCCTGCATAGGTATTTGCCAAGGGACTCAAATAATTTGTGGAAATACGACATTTCCATATATGACCAATGAATAATGCCCACTGAGGGAAGCATCCTCCAGTAAAAGGTTCAGTGATCCTGACCTGACGTTCGCCTCCTTGTGCAACCCTCCTTGACCAGGGGAGATTTGATGGCTCACAGAATATGACAGTGCTTGTGATGGCACATGGAAAGGTGGTTTAAAAAAAAGACCAGTATCTCTCTTGGGCACAAGAGACTAGACAAGTCTACATTCCAGCTAACAGTGTTTTACTGTACAGCTGGCCTATTCTTGCTTCTGACCTTTGTAATACCATTCTCACTACCTTGAGATCATTTCTCATTGTGATTTTAATTTACATTTCCCTAATGAAAGATGACTAGTTTTCATGTTCCTGTTCATTTGTTTTGATTTGTGAAATACCTATTTAGCTCTGTTAGTCATTTTTTATACGGTAGTTAGTTTTGGGTTTTGGGTTTGTTTTTTATTTTTGGTTGTGTTGAGTTTTATGAGTATTTTAGAAATGTTAGATATTAGTAGCTTGTTGATTGATGTGTTAAAAGCTTCCCCCATTCAGTAGGGCATCTTTTAAAGAGTTTCTTTCACTGTGTAGAAGCTGTAATCTGATGTCCCATTTGTTTATCTTTGCATTTGTTTCCTTTGCCATTCTAGTTGAATCCCCAAAGACATCACCGAGGCCAGTTTTTCAATGTTTTACCTGTGTCTCAGGTAGGTGTTTTATGGTTTCAAGTACTATATTCAAGTATTTAATTCATTTTGAGTCCATTTTTGTATACGGTGTGAGATGATACTTTACAATAGTTTCATTCTTCTTTTGCCTTTGTTTTTTTTGTATCCAATTAAAAAATCGTTGCTAAGATCTTTGGCATACTTTTTTTAAGTGACTTTATGGTTTCAAATTTTACATTCAAGCCATTAATCAATTTTGAGTTGATATTTTAAATTACCAGGTATCTCTGATTGGTTTACTGTAGATTTAATGAGGCTAAACCATGATATTTTAACTAGTGAAATACCTAGATCCCTCAATGGACGCAATCGATTTTTATTCAACATTTACTAAGTTGAATATTTACTGGGTTGGCATTTCAAGGATTGTAAAAACAGGACAATATTTCAAGTAATTTATACTTTAAAGAGAATAGATCTTAGAAAATATAGGGTTTATCATTTAAGCAGTTTTCATAAATACCTTTAGAGAGTGAAACAAGTTATGTAAGGCTATTTGTTGCATGGGGAAGAGAAGAAAAGAATGAAAGAACTGCGTATCATTAAGAACATGTTAAAATATTTTATTAAAATCATCTTGAAGGAAAAATACTGATTTGATCACTTCATATTTGAAGGGCAATTTAAGGAAATAATGTTAATTCTATAATCCATAAACTATTAAAAAGTCTTAAAATATTCTTAGTACTACAAATCAGTAATCTCATGAATGTATATCATTTGATACAAAACTCACTGAGGTTAAAACAGCATAAACGATGTTTAGAAAAACACTTATTTCCTCAAAGTGTTAAAAATATTTTAAAAATTATTTTTAAATATAGCACATAAGATTGAGTTACTATATAGCTGTTCTTTTCAAAAAGCAGCTAAATCTAAATAGCTAAATTTTTTTCTTATTCCCCCATAATTTTATAAATTGTACAGTGACTCAACACATTATTTATATATATGTGTGTAAATATATATGTATATACATATAATGTGTCTATTACACTAAAATCCAGTTACTCATTCTACAAATACTTGTAGGGTACCAACTTCATGAAAGACATTATGATACATAGCTAAAATTGGGTACTTGCTTTTAAGAAGTTTCAGTGGGGAGAAAGCTAAAAGAATTAAAATAGATTATGATCCCTGACATAATAAGTGTTTACACAAGGGGTTAGTGAGAACACAGAAAACAAAAAGCATGTTTAGATCTTACTGAAAAGTAGCGGGGGAAAAAAATAAAACCTGGACAATAGGTGACCCTGAACAAAGTCAGAAATTGGAAGTAAGGCATTTGGCACCTATGGGAAGGCAGCTGTTACAAAGAACATGAATGTGAGCGACAACATACAGTCCAGTAGCATCAGAACTGGGTGCCAGTGAACATATGTGCCGCATCATATCCTATTTGTACATTTTCCCCATCATTTTTAAAAATACAAGTCTTTTACTTCTATATAACCAAAATACAATTTAAATTATTTATTTTCTGTCCCTGAGTCTTGTTTTATTCCAGCTTCTTTTATCATTTCATAGAAAAGTCCTTTCTGGTGGATCAAATTCTGTGGTGTTTCAAATTCTACCATCCTTCCAGAGTCGAAAACAAGCACCCTGCAGTGCAGAAAGAATCCAGTTAGACAACCTAGTTATTGTTAATGTAAAGTTTAGAAGACAAAGTTATATCAGTATTAAATAGACACTCTATTTACCTGAGGAAATGTATCAAGCTTTCTAGTTTATCTTGGCATTAAAATTTTCTTGTAACAATTTTGAAAAATCTCTTCCATACCTCTAGGGAAATTTTTATAGTTCTTTGCACAGATATGATTCTTGATTAGTGGTAAATACTATTAAAATTGGAATGTTTTGTATGTTCAATAATTACCTCTGTAGACATTGATTTTTTTTTTTGAAAGCAAGAAGAGCTTACCTATCTGAATCAATGACAGAATGCAGTCGATGAGCAATTGTCAGGACAGTGCAATTGGAAAACTCCTTTCTGATCGTTGACTGTACCAAGTTATCAGTTTCAAAATCAATGGAAGCTGTTGCCTCATCCAAGACAAGAATTTTTGTTTTTCTAAGCAGAGCCCGAGCAAGACAGACAAGCTGCCGCTGTCCAATGCTGTTAGAGAAAATCATTTCAATGTAAACTTTACAGTCACACACTTACTGCTTTAAAATGATTTTCTTTCTACCACACAGTCATGAAGTCTTTTAATCAAAAATATTTAATGAGTGACAGATATTCAAAAAATAATGGACCAGACACTCAGCCAAGTTCTGGAAATAGAGCAAAGAACAAAGCAGGCAAAAAGATCTGTCTGTATGGAATTTACCTTCTCAAAAGAAGCAAAATCTATTGAAATAAGAAGAATTTAAGTAGACAGAAAGGGAGGGTGTAGAATGGAGTGGACATTTTAGATGGATGTAGCAAAAAAATTCAATACCTTTTAAATCAAGATCTCTAAGAAGGAGAGATGGGATTGATGGAGGGGTAAGGAGTCAGTGGGGTAGGGGGAGTGGGCAAGCAGATTTCTGATGGAAACTTATTCCTAGGAAATGTTAGAACAGGTAAAAAAATCCCTGAGACACATGGGAGCTGGTCAAGCATATTCACGAATCAGCAAGGAGTCCAGTGTGTGTGGCAGAAACAGGAGGGAGGGGACAAAGTCAAAGCATTAAGCATAGCTACAGGGTACAGGACTTGAGGGGGGGGGTAATTTTCTTTCTGAACGCATGAAGGGAATAATCTAATAACATCATACACCCTTAAGAAATTGGAGCCACCTGTAACATTTTTGGGGGAAGATAGTTCTTTTAGGAGTCTTTACTAAAAAAAAGATTAAGTTAGATGACTTTTCTTATTTTATTGTTCCCCTGTTTCCCTTTCTTTCCCTTTACCAGCAGTTTTCCAGCCTGTGGTAATCATCTTAATCCTTGTCCCTCTTCTCTAAAGAGAATCAGCAATGATGTGTTTTGAACACACCAAACAAGATCCTGGTAGCTTAGAACCAACTTCTAAGCTACCAACTCGAGCTTAGGCCAACTCGAATTTCTAAAATGGTAGAAATGAATAACCTGGGCCTACGGCTTTGACCTTAGCAGCTTACCTTAGATTTTCACCCCCCTCAGAGACCTCATGTAGCAGCTTTTTGGGGAGGGAATTTACAAACTCCTTTAAGTGACAAAGTTCCAGCACTTCCCACAGCTCCATATCAGAATATTTCTCTAGGGGATCCAAGTTGGTTTGAAGGGTTCCAGAAAATAAAACAGGATCCTAGAGAATAAAATTGGTAACTTGGTGATCTTGCTGTTATATGAGGCATAAATACAGTTTTAAAAATAATGCTCAGAAAATAAGAATGGAAATAGAAAAATGATCTAATCTTATAGTTACTAATTCGTTTCATTTAAAACAAAAAACAGTAGAATCAGAATAAATATAAATCAGATTAAATTCTTAAGGCATTTCTGTTTCTCTTTTCCTCCTCGTATCCTCGTATAAAAATTGTCAACAGCCACAACAGTGGTCATAGAGGATATGATACAGAACAGGATATATGTAAACAATTTTATGTACAACGTATTATCAAAAATACACCAACCAGAAAGATAAAAGTCAAAGTCTCCATTTTTCAGAGAGTAAACTAGAGATTCCAAAGAGATTTGTTCACCAAATAGAAGGTAAATGGCTGGATAGACTCCAAAGAGGTCAAGCCCAATCTCTTTCTAATGTACTAACATGACTAGTAAAACTACATTTTAACATACCTGCATTTTATTCATTAAAGATAAATGGGTAATCCTTTAACAACATATTTTCCCCTGCCAGAATCAGATACTACTCATATCTTTGAAAGAAATTTGTAAGTATAAATCTAAATAATCTGACACAGAAATTATAGTATTTAAAAGATACTTTTACAGGATAATACAAAGATTTCATAAATGTTCAGCTTAAAATTCTCAGCCTGAAGTGAACAAGTCATGTTTGACTACAGGGATATGTTTAAACCAATCTGCATACTTGGTAATGAAATCAAGTTGCTTTGATTTCACAGATGAATCGAAGGACTTAAGGAAAATGATCTCATCTTTTTCTTTTTTTTTCATGTTTCTAAACTTCAAGTCAAAAGAATCAAGTTCTACAGTCAAATCACCACCTAAGTAAAAGCCTCACCTATTTATTTTTCTCCATAAAACACAGTGCATTCACTCTGCTATCTTTGTTCAAATTTTATTTGCATTTACTATTATGAGGGAAACTTGCAAAATGATGTACTAGATTTGCAAATAGAAGAATATTTTAGAATAAAACCTTTTAATAGTATTATTTACATAGAAATGTTTCATCATAGTTTAAAATGATGTGACTCCCAAAATTAATTTATATGCCTGAAGGCACTATATTAAAAAATAAAGTTTATCTGAAGTGAATTTAGAAAGGCTTTACCTGTGGTATAATATTAAGTTTGCCACGAAGGTCATGAAGTCCTATAGTTGATATGTCAATTCCATCAATAATAATTTTGCCTCCTGACCGTTCCACAATTCTAAATAAGCATTTTGATAATGTTGATTTGCCTGCCCCAGTCCTTCCTACAATTCCAATCTGTAATAAAATGGTTATAAACAGTTCACAATGTACTTTTCTTTTTTTCAGGAAATAAAAAACAGACATGTTGGTTGTGAGATGCCTGGGATCTAATTTTGACTAGAATAACCTTGCCTGGCACAGAAGAGGTAATATGGCTTCTAAGGAACCTTCTTTAACTAGACACTCCTTACTCACTGGAAAGACACAGGCTATTTTGCCCCTAGTCCTGAGTAATTTTGTTATAAGTAAACCAATTGCCCCTAAAAGAGCAGATTACCCCAGAAACACCCTGAACTAGCCATTAGAATGTGGTTAAGGAGTCAATGATAATAGGTTGGCTTGACAAACAAGATTGTCTACCCTGCCTCCCATATTCAAATAAGCAACCAAAGTGGTCTTGGAATGTTTTGCCAGAGAGACTTGCAAAATCTAAAGGAATGGCTGAAAATTTCCTTGGTGTGTCAAAATATCCACCATGTTAAAAAAACTATTGAGGGTGGCCATAGACAATGTCTGAAAATTTTGGACTCCTGGACAAAATAATCAACTTGTCACAATTGAACATGTGATTGAACATGCTTATTTAGTCCTAAGAACTAAAGCATTCTCTCCTGGTATTGCTTCCTATCTTGGTGGTGGGAGAATTAAGCAGAGAGAACATTACAGTGCTTGAAATGCCCTAATAAAAGATCTTAAATTTCAGAAAAGTCAGGAATCTTTGTATTAATTGGAATAATCAAAATTTTGCAATGATTTCATTTGTCCCAAAATATTTCTGTCCTTAATATCACTGCAGTAGACCTGATTGAAAGATTAGACAGATAGATGTTTGGGGTTATAAAATACAAGTCTTTGTGAGAAAGTAGGAAATTGTGGCTTTTTTCCCCTATGGGTATATGTGTTACCCTTAATTGTGAAAGAATGTTCTGATTAGAGAAATGATATTTTTTTTCTTAAAATATTTTGAGAAATGTGGAAAAACATAAGTAAAAGTTACCTAAATCCCATTATCCAGAGAGAAGTACTATGTCATTAAATATATTTTTAGAGCTATTCTTTTTGTATTTTTGCCGTGTATATATCTGCTTTGTTTAAAACACAAAACTGATATTCTATCAAATTTTTACACATAGATTTTATTAACTAAATTAAAACTCAAGCATTTTCCCATCTCACTAATAGTCTTGGGAAATGTGATGTCATCATTTATACAAATATTCTCTCCTTTGGATTTAGTTTGCATTAGGTAATTATTATAGTCCTATTATTGCTATTGTTGAATTTTACCTTAAAGAGGAACTAAGAAAAAAATATACTAGCATATACTCGATGGAAATGAAGTCAGTATCTCCAAGAGAAATATGTATTCCCACACAAAATAGCCAAGACATGGAAGCAGTCTAAATGCTTATTAATGGATGTGTGGATAAAGAGAATGTAGTGTCCATACAATGAAATATTATTCATCCATAAAAGGGAAGGAAATCCTGCCATTTGTGATGCCATGGATGACCCTACAAGCCATTATTCTGAGTGAAAATAAGCTAGACAGAGAAAGACAAATACTATCACTTAAGTGTGGAATATAAAGGTCAAATTCATAAAACCAGTTAACAGCATGGTGGATACCAGGCACTAAGGAATTCAGAGAAGTGGGAGACATTGGTCAAAGGGTACAGACTTTCACTTAAATGATAAATAAGTACTAGTGTACAACATGTACGCTACAGTTAATGATGTTCTATTATATAAAGTAAAAACGAAAATCAACAAACTATGAACTGGAGACATTCTATGGGGGTGGAGAGGGGAATAGGATTAAAACTGGGGTGGGAAGAGCAATGAGACGATGGTGACAACACATGGGTGAAGTGGTGGTGGGAAGTCCACAGGGATTACAACCAAGATGCAAAAATGTACAATATAACGAATGTTGTCTGTTTATATGTGTAAAATAAGAAAAATAATGTTCTATTATATATTTGAAATTTTCTAAGAGAATAGATCCTAAGTGTTTTTACCACATCCCAAAATAACCATTGGTAATTAAAAAACACAGAATTATTGTTTTGATTCACTACATATTAATATTTAATGTTACATATTAAATCTCTAGTGCTTATCTATGACTAGTTGAGAATTTGTGCTCTTAAGCAACATCTGGCCTTCCCCACCAATCCCATCATCTGGTAAACAACATTTTACTCTGTTTTTCTGAGTATGACAATTTTATATTCCACATATAAGTGAAACCATATATTACTTTACTTGCTCTGATTTATCTCATTAGTATAATGTACTCAAGATCCATCCAAGCTGTGATTCATGACAGGATGCCTTTCTTGCTCGTGACTAAATAATATTCCTCTCCCCCTCTCTCTAAATGTGTATGTGTGTGTGCACATATCCATTCATCTATTGATGGGTGCTTAGGTTGCTTTTATATCTTGACAGTTTCAAAAAATGTTGCAATAAATACAGGAATGCCAATAGCTCTTTCATATCCTGCATCCATTAAAACATCAAACTTGCCAAGAGACTATTACTTAGTTATTCTAATCATTAAAAAGAAATTGGGTGCCAGAATTACTATAATGGTAATTATAAAATATAAGTGTATTAAGTTCACATATTGTCCACCTTAAATTTATACAAAGTCAAATGTATTCTCAGAAAATAAACTGGCGCTTAATGTGAGATGATTAATATGTTAATGAATTTGATTGTGGTAATCATTTCACAATATAGATTTTAATCGCATCATATACCTTCAATATAAGTCAATATTAATTTAAATATATATAAATTTTATGTCAGTTATAAATCAATAAAGCTAACAAATTAAAGTGTACTTAAGTCATGTTTCAAGATGGAGTACAGTATTTTAAAGTACACATTTTTTTAATTTATAGAGGAATTTATAGAGGAATTTTTAAATTTTTTAATGAAAATTGAACAAATGATTTTCTTATATTAAACATAGTATTTGGTCTGCATTCAGATATGAAGAAAGTGAAACATATGAAATACTCATACCTTCTCTTCCTCGTGAGTCTGGAAAGTGACATCTTCTAATGCTAACCCAAGATCATCTCGGTATCTAGCCTGATAATTAATAAATTCCACTATTCCTTTATTGGGCCATTGTGATGGAGGCCTTTTAGACATTATCCAGGGTGCCTTCAAACAAAGAAATAATGTTTAAACTATAACTATAATAAAAATATTTTCCTTTTGAAAGTAAGTATCAAGCATGTAAACAAAAGTATGGCTACATGACAAAAAATGATACTTTTTGATATGATTTTCCTAAAAAATCTTTATTACAGACAAATTTTCCTTCTGATTATGAAGTTTTAGATATAGTTTTCAGAAATAAGAAGGCTTCTTATCTTCCAGCAAATTAAGAAAATTTTAACATACAATAAAAAGCTGAAGGCAACAAAATTTTAGCTGAGATGAGGGCAGTTTGTGTCATGCATTCATTTCCCAAATACTGAGTGTTCAGTCTGCCAGGGTATGCTTCCTATAGATTCAGAAGAGAGCAGAACAAAAATTCTTGCCTTTATTTATTAAAGTTCATTAATTAGAAGTCGTTAAGACTGAATGAAGCACATAGCATATGAAGAACATTATGATAATACAACTTTGAAAAAGAAGAAATAGGGTTGATGTCATTTGAAGTATGGGTGGTTAGGGAAAGCTTGATTTGACATAGTGAGGGTATAAGCCATTGTGAATATCAGTAGATGGCAAAGGGCACTAACTCCATGTGCTGAGGATAGAGATGGGGGCTGCATGGATTATTGGAGGAAGAACAGGTGGTAGAAAGCACAGAAGATATCTGCCCTGCTCAGAAGCTAGACAGGGAGAAGTGTTTTCATGGGACCTGGTGGTAGTTGAGGTTAAGTGAGGACCTAGAGGGGACCCCGGGTGGTCTCCACAAAATCAAGTTGACTGGAGTGGTAATTGTTTAAGAGTGCTTACCTCTTTATTCATATTTTCATACTCACAAACTCTTTCAATGGAAACTGCATTTGTTTCAATTTCACATGCTTTCCTCACCCAAAAATTCAGCGACTGTGTAATCTGGATGGGGGGGGGGGTAGGCATCAAGTGTTTAATGAATATTCCTTAGTCTTTTATAATATTAATGATACTTTTGTAAGGTTATGTTTTCAAGGTTCTATATATATTATCTCTTGTGGCTATTTTCAAATTTTAAGTATATTTACACATACACTCACAAGTTTCTTTAAATCTGTTTAACTTATCCATAAAAAAATAATGATTTGACAAAAGAGAAAATAAGCATAGTTCATTGTATATTAAAGCTGTCCATATTTGGTATAAGGAATGATAAATACCAAAACTGACTGGATGTGCCTCATTCTAAACAAGAAAAAAAAAAGTGTACAGTGTTACCTTTGGCATTCTTACCTCCATCAAAAGGATTCTCCTAACTTTCTGACTACTACTCTCAAGCTCTCCTTTTACTTTTCAATCTGCTATCTTCTCACCTTACTCCCAAAAATAATTCCTCTGAGGTTGTAACTTCAAACTTAATTAGGAAAGTGTAAAATACTCAGAAAATTTTATTTGTTTGTTGCTCAGTTTGGTGCCATGTGTTGATGGCTAAACCTGACATGAAATGATTAGGGAGCTCATTAAGGTTTTTAACCCACCTAAAGCACAGGGTTCTGTCCTGGGCCGTGCATATGCTTATACACCATATTTCCTTTCTAGAAGTATAAATTCTAAATTTTGAAATGCAGAAAATCTCAGAGAGTCAAGACTAAAGGTATGTACCCAAATCAACTAGAGTTCTTTTAAGTTATGTGAAATTATATTAAGTACATTAAAGAATGTTCTCTTAAAGGAGCATGATCCACTCATATCACTAGTGCTTCAAAGTATAATATATAACAGGCCTTATCAAGGGAAATTTACAACCAAAGAGGAACATATATTCTCCCCAGAGCTGGCATTATCTCCTGGCTTAGATGGTGGTGAGAGGACCCACCTCTGTTACACTCTGTAAACCTATAAAGGTAAGGGAACAGGAAATGCCTGAGTAATTTTGTAACAGCAGGAGTTTCCTGGCCCCCTAGCACTCAGCCTTGGGCATCTGCCTGGTCTTTCTGTGAGTTAATTTAGAACTGCTGAGCCAGCTTCCTGCTAGTACCAAAAGAGGAAGAAATGAGCTTCCCCAGTAATCCAGATGACTTAGTTAATACAATCCATAACTCAGACAGGCAAAGGAGATGAGAATTTAATTAATTGGATTATAAACATATCACATACCATAAAATCATAATTACTTACATTTAGGGCATAGGATATGGACAAACCAACTATTGCTGAGTCTATAGAATTGCCAGCCAGCACAGCAAGCAGTGCGACAAAGAACACCATTAAGTTGCCAAGAAATTCAAGCCTTACAGACAGCCACCTGTAATAATGGAAAATAATCCTTAATAAATGAAATAAATGAGACACAAAAATTTTGGTGCACTTAGTACAAACTGTCCTCAAAGAAATCAACAAGATGTCTTGAAATCAAGAGGCAACATCAAGAGCTGCTTTCTCTTTTTCCTCACTTAGGTAGGAGGCAGTCAAGCACAAGATTATTATAATGGTAATAGTTTATAGATTCCTCTGCATAAATATGTTCTTTATTTTGACGGAACTTTCCTTTAAAACCTCATCAGAAATAAAACAAGAGGGAAGAACACCGGCTAAAATGATGCATTGTGTTTTTAAACACAATGTGATTTTATTGGAAAATCAACTAATTCACTGATTATATTTTTTTAGGTGATAAATTTGGTCTTTAAAGATTTATTTTGTGCCAAATTACCATTCAATATGTTTCTTCTTTATATAAAATTATAACTCCAAATATAAAACATTAGGTTATATGCAAATAAACTATATTCTATAAATATAAAATACAATATAGTCACATCATTAATAATAGTAGCAGATATAACACTTCAAATACCTTGAGCTCATATCTTGTTATAAAGCAGTATATAAATAAATAAAATTTAATTTAAATGGATATTAAATACTAAAATTGTGGAAGACTTTTGTCTTTAACTTAACCAAATGCCATGATAAAGCAATGTTTCTGTTTGGAAATCAGTGAAGATATCAAAGAACATAGGTCCTGAATTTTGTTTTGCTATGACTTACCTATTTGAAATTACGTTATTGTAGAAACAGACCAAGTTCTCATTCACCGTCTCTTTGTTTTGCTGGATGAACCTCTGCTCATGTCCAAATGCCCTGATAGTGGACACTCCAGATAAGGTCTCACTAAAGTGGGAAATGATAGGAGAGCGAGAAGCTCCCGCTAAACGTCGAATCTGCCGAGAGCTCGCCATGTAGTATCTCTAGTCCAAAATCAAGAATTTTAGTTGGAAAGATGTAGCAGAAATGTCTCCAGTGGTTTGAATACTTCAAGGCACTTGTATACTGATCTACAGAATGGTTCCCAAAAGTTCATGTGTGATTTCATTTGAAATAAGATCTTGGTGGAGTATCACTAAATTTTTCCAGACGACATCATCCCGGATTTAGGGTATGCCCTAAAATTCCATTCTGGTTGTCCTCATAACAGACAGAAAAGGAGAAGACACAGACAGGAAGAATGTTTGTGAAGATGAAACAGATTGGATTGATTTGTGCCAAGGAAAATGTTGGGGATCCCTAATAGCCACTGAAAGGAGACAGATAATGAAGAGATTCTCCCTCAAATTAGCCAGAAGGAACCAGTCTACCTGCACTATGATTTTGGCCTTCTGGCCTTCAAAACGGTAAGAGAATAAATTTCTGTTTTTTTTAATCCACTAAGTTTGTCACAGAAGTTCTAGGAAACTGATATAACCTCATAAGAGTAATTTCTTGATAGCACAACTAGAACATAATTGTACAAAAGTTCACTTTGACAGTGCTCTCAAATGACCGGTGTTGGCTATCTACTATGTTAAAAACGCTCTGTGTCATATAGTGAAAACATAACCAGGCAGTTACCTATTAAATGAGGGAAGCAAACCACGTGTACAATAATATTTTTAGACTGAAATATAATTACAGAAAAAATATATTTTTATTACATTTTATGAAAAACACCAGCACAAACTATAGTTATAGTTCAGTAATTCCCCTTGGCATTGGATTGAGAACAATTGGGATGGGTAGGGATTGTGGAGAGATGGGGGTAATATACTCTTTAATTAAATGGACCATCATTCACCAGCCCCAATATAACTGTTACAAACTGGAAACGAAAACTAGCAGCTGCCACATCTTGAAACTCTTTCAGAAATACCTGCAGCTCTGGAGTTTACATAAAGTCCTGATTTTAAAATGTCTTCATTTTTAAAAATATATTTTTATAATGCATAATATTTATATATTTAATAATATAATTTATATAAATAGTATATTGTATATTTATAAATAGTATATATTTCATATGTATATATACATACACACATATACATATAAAACATCATTGTTCACTTTTGTGTGTTGTTTGATTTTTCCTCTCAGGTATAATCCCATGAAATTCCCAAGTCACCTGTCTCCATAGTAGAGAAAGAATAAAATACAAGAGACACAACTAGCAGGCAAACTATAAATTGGAGACATACAAGGAACATGGGAGGGATAAAAACAGGGCAGGGAAAAGCACAGAAGAGTAAAATAACCTTTATTTTGATAAAACCACCAAGTAAACTGAACCAAAACTAAGTATGATGTTAGTTTCCGGTTTACAAACTCTACTCTGAGTTCTCTGAAAACTGCAAAGGATTATATATTTAGGGATGTAAGGAAACCTAAAAGATTATATAGATCAGAGATTAAGTTTGGGGTCCTAGAACCATCTGAGTATATGATTAATGGTAAGACCCTTCCCTTTAGGTAAATGTATATACACATACACACTCAGAGCTCATACCTAAAAACTCAGTGAATGATAGAAGTCCTGAACTCCGTCTATGAAACTGTCCAAAGAATTTAGTTTAAAAAAATGTAATATCAATGTTTCTCATGCTTCAGCAAAAGTCACTTAGAAAGTTTATTAAAATACAGAGGCTCTCCCCTGAGGTATTCGTTCCACCCTGCTTTATTATTTTACAGTAACAAAAATTTACACATATTTAGGTTGTATTCTTTAAGGGTCACAGCCAGGTATTCTGATTCAGCAGAGCTGGAGTGTGACTCATGGCTCCAGGGACCATGCTTTGAGTAGCACTGACCTAAAGTGAAATGCTTAAAGAAAAAATAAATGAAGCTTAGAAATGGAGATGATGTGCCAAACACCAGGAAGTAACTAGAACTTGAGGTTCTGAATCCACATTCATGGTTCTCCCTTGACAGTTTCCCCTAAAAATACATGGTTTCTACTCTGCTGTTCGTTAACTTGCTACCAACAATGAAAGATTAACAAACACAATTTAATTTATGAATGGTATTTTTAATCAGCTATAATTGATCTTCAACACCATCCCTCAGTTAAACAGGTAGAGAGAACAAGGAAAACATGGAAGGTAGGAGAAATAATGATAGCGTGAGTGTAGAAATGAAATAATTGACCTTCTGGCCTGAGCAGATTAAATCCCGATATGAATTTTAACGCTCACTATTTTGCAAGCATTAAGATACAACTATGTCCATTTGTGTAGAGCCTCAAAAATACATTTACATTTAACTTAAAATGTATAATAAGAAAGTTTAGTCTACCCTGTGGCCTCACAGTGCCATAATTTAGGAGTTCAAGTTAGCTGACAATACTTTAATTAGAAGTCAAAGATATAGAAGTATGAGAGATCTATTTAGTTCTTCCAGCAACAGTTTGCTGACATCTGGGATCACAGGACAAAAAGACAATATCTCTTCTCTCAGATTTACAAGCAAATTAACTTTCTGCTAAAATGTAGACAGATAGGTTTTGTGGCAGCCATAGAAATTAATCATTCTGTTCTCTTTTTTTAAAGATTTTATTTATTTATTTTTGCACAGAAGAAAAAGGGTAGAGGCAGAGGTGCAGGGGGTGAGAGGATTTCACCCGAGACAGTGGCGAGCAGAACAGGCAGATCTACTGAAACACATTTATATTTTTAAGAATGAAGTAAATACATGGTACACTGCTGGGGGGAGCAGCAGGTGAGATAGGAGAGGTCGGCTACGCCATATTGGTCAGCTTCCTAGCTGGGAATCTAACCTTAGGCCTTTATGGTGGTACCACTGAGACTTAACCTCTAGACTGCCGGTAGGCCCCCACTGCATTCTGTTCTTTTGCAACATCCCTGACACTGCTGACGGGCAGCCTGAATTGTGCCCTCCACTCTACCACTGCCCTACGGCATAACCATGGTTTCTGTTTTTCACATGGATTGCTCCCAGCCAATGACTGAGCATTGCAGTAGGTGCTAATGCAGACCAAATCTGGGGACATTAACAAAGGCACCAACAGCAAGGCCAGTGGTCAACTTCCCATTTGTTTGACTTTATAAAACTGTTCTGCAGTCCAAGACTCTTCCTACTAAATCTTACCCCTTCTCTCCCTCACAGGGGTCAAAGCCATCATTGTCTGAGGGCTCACACACCTTCTTTATTTTTACAGGCATTTCCCCTAGTAATGCTCCAGTACATCTAATCCTTTATTGGAGTCTGCTTGTTGGAGAACCTTGACTTATAGGAGTATAAAGTGAGTTGAAACGATATTTTCCTGTGAACTTTTGAGTTACTAATACACATAAAAATCACAAACTTACTTGTATAGTGAAATAGAGAAACACCAATGGAATAACCCCCAGAATGAAGAGTGGTAAAGCTCCCACGATGACCAAAATTGTTCCTAGAACATCCAGTGTACAGTTCACCCACGTGCGCAAGTAGTAATGGAAACGTATATCAATTATAAACATGTCCTGAAAAAGTGACATTAGGTGACTTTATTTTTAACTTTTAAAGGCTTAGAAGGAGAGGGAGGAAAGCTATAGCATTAAGTGGAAAAATAAACATTTATCCAGATATGATACCCATAGTCTGATAGTGAAATAAGTCTAGCTATCAGGTCTTTGTCCACCCCAACCCACCAGGTATATTTTCCCCCTGTTGGTCCATTTTAAGAGTTGAGAGAGTGTTCTAGTAACAAGATGCCTATGATCAAACAATTTGTACTTCTCAGGGACAACTACATAGCACTGCCTTTATCTGGCCAAAGTCAGAGGCTAGTAAAAGACAAGTCCAAGCCCCAGTAGTTGTGTGCAGGGGCACTAGGCTACCCTTACAGTTTTCACTTCTTAAAAACTGTGAAACATGGCCCTCCCTGGTGGTGGGTTAAAGTACTACATTATGAGGCTCTCTGAAGCCACTGCAGCACAAGTTCGATTCCTCACCAGGGAGCTGACCCAAATGGCACAGCAGATCTCTCCTGACATGCCTGTTTCTACCCTCAGCAGTGTATTTCAGTGGATCTGCCTGTTCTCTTCCCTGCTCCATCTCTGGTGAATTTTCTCACCCACCACACCTCTGGCCTGCACCCCAATTTCTGTAAGCATCAATATATAAATCTTAAAAAAAAATCTGTAAAACATGTCTAACATGAACTTATCACTGAGAACATATCCTGGTACCTCCTTGGGTAGGTGGATCCCAAAATAATCTTCATTACAAAATTAGGAGCTAAACGATGGAGTTGGGCAATGGAAATGAAAGAACAATGGGATGGTTGTGGATGGATTACAGTCACTTATAACTTAAATCAAATATAACTTTTTTAAAAAGATTTATTTCTTTATGGATACAAGAGCTGGGGTACAGGCCAGTGGTATGGGGTAGGGGGGTTGGTGAGAGGATTTCCCAGAGTCAGAGTAGGGACCACAATAAGCTGATTGACTGCAACACACTGCTGAGGGGAACAGCTGGCAGGTCAGGAGAGGTCTGCTGCACCATGTGCGTCACCTCCCTGGCCAGGGATTGAACTCATGCTGCTGTAGCTGCCCATAGCTTCATAGTGCTGATGGAACCCCTTGTGCCACCAGAGAAGCCCCTCAAATATAACTCTGTGGTATAAGATATGATCTAAAAGATCAAATATAATAGAAGAGACTGATCTTGAATGACTGCTACAGATTGTAGAGATGGAATTTTATTAATTCTCAGTCTTATTTCATCTACTTCTCTGATTATTTCATCAAATAGTGGAAGTCATATGTATTTTTCTTCCTGCCTGTAAAACATTTGCCCATTTGCCCATCTGTTCAACATCTAATTAGTTGACATGTTCCTATGTAAGTAGTAACAAATAGTAAGATCAAAGAGAAAAGTCCACTGAGAGATGGAGAACATTTGATTATCTGCCTATATATGTTTAAGGAATAGTGTGTATATTCAAAGAGCAGTGTGTATTGGTATGATTAGCAAGACTTGATATTTCACCAAGCATTTATTCTGATAGGTACTTATATTTCCAAATTTAATCTTCATTTTCCCCAATGGTGAGGACTAAAACAATTCTGTGTAAACTAAATGCTTTCATAAATCAAAGTTCACACATACACATAAACATATTGCCACATTTTAAGATTATGAATCAACACTAAGGCAGGAATCACTAGCAATATATGGCTAGTAAGTATATGAAAAGTAGCTACTGCAAATTCAGTTGTGTTAGAAATATATGATACAAATTAATTTTAGAGGTCTCCTTTTAAGGACAGCTTACCAAAAAAAAAATGACAATGTAAATTTATGCATAGTTTTGTATTGATTACAGTTTGAAATATTTTAGATCATCTGTGTTAAACTTAATATTAAAGTCAGCTGTTTCAACTGTTTCTTTTTACTTTTTATTGTAGTTACTAAGAACTGCAAATTTCGTATGTGTTGCAGGTTATGTTAGATAGTGCAATTAAAAGTATTTGTTGTAAGCGCCATGGAGAAAACCCTATAGGTCAGCAGAAACATTCTGGGGCGCTCAAGCCACCCCCACCCCTTGCACCATAAGCAAGTTCATTAGTTTCTTAAAGGCAAAAGGCTTTAAAAAATCTCAGTGTCTCCATAAAAACTTACACTCTCTTCCCTTCTCATCTAAACATGGATTCCCATAGTCAAAACACGTTTGAGCTATAGAGACCAAAGCACATATGCATTTGGATTCTTTCAGCAATTTTCAAGAGTTATTTTTAATCATGTGACAAATATCCCAAGGATTGGCCATAAAATCCATATTAAATATGCTTTTTTCTAAGGAAAATATACTTTACAAAGGATACTAAAGGTATTAAAATTGCATCATCATCTTTAGATATGCTACTTGAGAAAGAATGGCTTTACCTACCTTGGTGAATCGATTGATGGTCTGGCCAACGGGGTTGGTTTCAAAAAACTGGAGTGGGAGGTGAAGCATACTGTCCAGCAGCCGAGCATGCAAAGTTCGGGAGGCAGCAAGGGACCCTTTGGTGAGTACATAGGCTCCAGAGCACACAAATAGACCTGAAAACCACATTGTTAGTAGGCCCATGGAAATATCTTAAAGCAACTCTATGTTATAACATTCAATATGCTGCTTATAATAGCATTTCTTTTTTATTTACTTTTTTCCTAAAGATGTATTTATTTATGCACGCAGAAGCTGGAGTTAAGCCAGAGGTGTGGGGGTGGGATGTGTGTGGAGGGGGTTAAGGTATGAGAGGATTCACCAGAGACAGAGTCAGAGTGGGGAGCAGAACAGGCAGATCGATAAAGTACACTGCTGAGGGGAGCAGTGGGTAGGTCAGGAGAGGTCTGCTGGGCCATGTGGGTAGCTTGCTAGCTGGGGATCAAACTTATGCTTCAGTGGCTAGGGATAGTTTCATAGTGCTGAGACTTAACCCCTTGTGCCACCAGGGAGGACCAGCATTTCTCTTTTTAAAATTAAAATAGTGTACTTAAGTATGTATAAGAGCTAAACTAAATATAAATAGATTGGTGCGTTGAAAATAGATATGAATAGCTGTCATTCTCCATTCATGTCACAGGTCTAACAGAAATGCACCAAAGACAGCAATAAATCTCATTCACAGAAAGTTAGCTCCCTATTAACTTTATGATATCCTTGGGACAATGTGTTAGTCATTGGTGCTTTTAGCCAAATACTTTCAATTTTCCTTGTTTCTAAGTCCATGGTAGAATTGCACTTTCTGGCCCTCTTGTGGTTAATGGGATCAAATGAATAGTTCTAAACAGTCAGTTTTGAGAGAAACAATCAGGATACTTCTAGTTTAGAGCACTTGTTTGTTGGTTTCAGACCAGCTAAAGCGCCTATTCCCTTTGTACAGATACCACTATCACATGGTTGGTGCCATGTCCCCTCCACATGGGACCCTGGGATAAACAGAGACCCTTTCCTAATCCACAGTGGATATACAGCATAAGTTAGGAAAAAATCTTTATTTTGCATTAAACTACTGAGATTTGGCTGATAGACAGGATCCTTGCAACAGCTAAAAAGGCAGATATTGTTTAAATATAAACTTGTAGTTTTAGTAGAAATGGTTGGAAAACCATTATTAGCACAAGGACGATTGTCAGCTGCATTTTAAAAATATTACAAGAAAGACACAAACTCAGAAAAGTACTATCCAGATGTGTAAAAAGGAAAGACAAAGAAACACAAAATTAGAGAAATTTATAGGGCTGGAAGAAAAAAAAATGTTTGGCTACAATGATTGGTTTGAGAACAGTTTATTTGACTCACATTAATGTATTTCAAACAATGATTTAGTAGATTTTGATGGAAGGAAATTCTTTGGAAGATCACATTGCCATCACTTTGTGATTTCGAGACATGAAGCCAACAAGAATCATGAATGGAAGCGATAACTACAGAGTGGTGGGCACTCATTCAAGTATGTTTAAGGACTGGTCTATTCCCATTGGGGAGTCAGTCAATTTCTAAGTTACTTGGAAAAGTTTGCTCTTAAGTCAGAGGATACACAGTTGCTCCACTGTACTCTAACATACAAAAGTGCTCAGAAAAGTGTGTTGCTTATATGGTTCCTGTTCCCTTGCAGATATGTTTAAAGCCAAAATCAAAATATCTGACCCTGACCATCTTATACTCTTTTCCCTAGTAGTTTGATATTTAAACAGTATCACAAACTGCAGTTAAATTATTTCACAGTCTTAGTTTCTGTTCTTTCCCTATCCCATTCCCCTTACTTCCTTTAGCCCCTTTTAAAAAATAAGTGGTCACCACTTTTTCTCAATTAAATATTTAGTATTTATATTACTACTAATCACATATTACTCAAGAAGTTCACTAAATTTAAAACGCATGCACCATTATTTTTTCCATGTTAGGTTTCTATGCAACAAGGCTAATTTATTCCCAAATACTTCAGTGGTCAGCAAATCTCTGCTGAATAAACTCAAACTCATTAGATATTCTATTATTTCTTTCATTCCATTTAGCTTCCTCCTCCCTGCATACAAACTACTCTCTGAACACCTCTGTCTCTCTGCTTTAAACTGAAATGGTTGTAGGAACAGGCATTTGCATTCTTCAGTTATGGGACAAGTTGTTAAATGTTAAGGATCTGATCATTTCCCCCTGCATTTATAGTCACTTTATATGATATTGAAGTTGCTGGACTGTTCCTCTAATTTTTCCTTATCTATCATTTTCCATCTATGTTCTTGATCTTATACATCTGGGATAATTCCTTCTAATTTACCTTCTCATACTTTTACAGTCTTTTAAAATTATTTAAATTTTTCCTGAAATTTCTTGTTCTAAGATTGAACTCCACGCACACTGCATTTGCTTTGAGGCAATATTTTGAATCTCTGTGAATGCTAATTAGACATTTTAAGCTTCTATTCCAAATATGATTATTTTACCTCTGGACTCAGCTGCTCTGTTTGTTGACTCTTATTTATATTGTTGGTCTGATTAAAATGTATGACCATCCTTCATTAGCATTTTAAATATGTAAGACAAAAGCTGTCTAATTCATCGAGTTTCTTGGTATGACTTTTTGCTGTTGCGTGCGATAATTTCCCCATTTCTCTCCTCTAATAGAAGGGCTTCAAGTTCTGTTTAAGTCTTTATATTGGTCTCCACTTGAGAAAACTTTCTTCTATGTTAATCACACACACCAAATACCCTAATTTCCTCTTTAGACATAGCTTTGCCCATTTTATATACAAATGCCCGCTGCTGTGTATGTGTTGTTGTTGGCATCAGTAGTGGATGTTGTAGGAGAGCTGATGGGCCAGGACAAAAATACGTTGGTGAATTACTTTGATTATGTTCATGCAGCCCAACCCAAATTTCTGTACCATGATTTTAACGTATCTCTATGGCAGAATTGAACCTCTCCCTCATAGAGATCTTCTCTGCCTGGCTTTTGGTACTTCTAGCCTTGAATATTTATTCATATAATCACTTAATGTAGAAATTTAGTACTCTGAAATCTCCCTAAGTTTCCTTTTCTATTTATTCACATCATTTCAGTGGAATTTTGTGTGGTAAGTCAGTTAGATGGTCCACTCACTCATCTTAAACTGGGAACAGCAATGAACTCTTTATATATTGCATTTTGAACATAAGGTGCCTGTATCCTGTATCTTACTTACACCTGAATTGCAGAAAAGAAGTTCCTAACAATGAAACTATTCAGAGTGTCATAGAGACTTTAAAGCAATTGTGTGTGTGTACTTGGGGCGGTATTCAGCACTATTTCACCTACTTCATTTATTTGGAAATAAGGTAAGATCTTCACTAATAAAATGTGCATGTAACATCTTCTGCTTCTGTGTTCATTTTGTTTGATGTTAGCTTTCTGTATTATTCAGAGTAGGCTTCTGCTATTTACATGTGGAAGTGTTTCTTAGGTTTTAGGGATAAAAACAGAAAGTGAACTATGAATTGGTTAGTGAAACTAGCTTGTTTTTTGAGTGGATAAGGTTCTGTAAAATGTAGTCATAGTCTGTTAAAAGTGCAGATAATAAATAGTTTCATTTCTTAGCCTCACTTTAATTATGGACAATTTATAATTGTACCTAGTAGCATCTTGAGGGAATTTTAAATTTTTCAAGAATTAGAGAAGACACATCTTCTAATAACTATAGACTGTTTTTTAAAAAAAAAAACAGCAAAAATCTTTTGGTTAATTTGTACATAAGTCATTGCCTTTGTAACAAAATATTTTTTTATAGTTTATTTTTACATCATTTTGTGCATTTTTCCATCTCAGTTGTCAAAATATTCTTATAGGGATAATAGTACCTTTCTAATTATTATCAAGATTAAAGGAGACAAATAAATTAATCTAGAATATGTTTATATATTATAAAATTACATAATTTTTATTTTGAATAAAATCTGTTATATGCTTGCATGTGAATGAATTAGGTCAGAAAAAGAAAAGAGAAGCAGCTGGATTTTTTCTTTCTTTCTTTCTTTTTACCTTGTATTAATCCCAATATTCCATAGGTATTCAATTTACTGCTCCTTATTTGCTTCCAGTCTGTAAACTCATTCATATGTTTTGCTTCTTTTGCCCAGGAACTAAGCCACAGATTCTGTGCAATGCCTACCAAATTCTGCCCTAGGCAAGAGACCACACTCAGCCACACCCAGAGCCAGCCAAAGGCTTGGAGGTACTTCAAAATGATGGAGAACTTCACCTAAATGCAAAGTTGAAATAAAATTAGGTTACTATACTTAAAAGCTAGACTAACCGCTAAATGTAATCTTACCCTTACATTTCCAAAGCATTGCTATTTTTTTTTAAAGATTTATTTATTTGTACATACAGAACTGGGGTACAGGCCAGAGACTCAGGGGCAGTGAGAGACTTTACCAGAGACAGAGTGGGGAGCAGAACAGGCAGATCAACGAAGTACACTGCTGAGGGGAGCAGCGGGCGGGTCAGGAGAGGTCTGCCACAACATGTGGTCTCCTCCGGGGCAGTCGGGAATTGAACTCATGCGGAAGTGGCTTTAGCTTCTCAGTGCAGTGCTTTAACCCGCTGCGCCACCAGGGAGGGCCCAAAAGCAATGCTATTTTATTTACATTACTAAATCCTCTAATCCTCTGATTACTTCTAAATTAGAATAACTAGCAACTTTCTACAGAAATGTAATGTCAGCCCAGGCCTAAAGACTTAACAAAATAAGTATTCAAATAATGTTATTTACTATCAGTAGTAAGCAAAAGTATGCATAGCTAAAAGCATTCAATCCTAACTAAGCATCACTATTTATTTATTTGACTATTAAACAGCAGCCCTTTTCAAATTCAATGAAAAATGTATGGTGTTTATTAATAATGTAGTGTAATCTTTTAGACTTGAGTGGTTAATCACAAACTAGTTCTACTTTGCTTACCCCACCAATTGGGATCTTTTCTTTTTTCATTGAAAACTGTTTTCCTTGATCCATTGGGGGCCTGACAAAGCAAAACAATGTACATTTTTTAGGGTTCAGATGTACTACACTTTAAAAACATGTTACACATTCTTAATAATTTTGTTGCATTTTTCTCAACTTCAGTAACAGCCAGTTGACTTACCCTGATGATGGTCTATGTAGCTCAATATATAAATAACATCAATTTGCTCTTACAACAACATCATGTTGTTGTATCATCATTTTACTGTGTTACCATTTACTTAACAAAATCAATAGTTATACTGGTTACAGTTTTTCCTACCTTAGTTATTACTGTAATGATCATTCCTTTCATATATTTTTCATTGACCCTTGGAATAAGCTCCCAAACATGGAAACAGAGGGTATGCTAAATTCCAAGTCAGAGGGTATATTTATAATCAGATTGACCTCTACAAGTACTGAACTGAAGCACAAGCATCTTAGCAGGTCATAAGAAGTCCCCATTTCTCCATATGTCCCCGTTTATTTATCAGAATCAAAAATGCCCTATTCAACAAGTCTGGTCATTCTTTCCATTTTACTTCTAGCACCAATATCAAGAACATTCTGTGGGTATAGAAAGTCCATGCCCATTTAGGGTCAGCTTCATCATCAGGAAAAGATGCACTATTTAACAAACACGGCCACTGGAATAGCTCTTGGTATATGATTTGGGTTAATTACTGTCATCATCCTTCAAGCCCTTGGCATGGCCTCTGTTTGGAGAAGCAAATTTAGCTCAATGTTAAGCCCAAAAATTTATTCTTAATGTAGCTGGATATAAATTCTTTGAAACCCAAATGTTAAAATGGAATTAAAACATAGTAATTAGACATAACTAACAAAGACCAATCATTTCTGGAGTGCTATACAGGAGGAGGTTGCTTTTCCAAGTGCAGTGCTATTTACTTATTTTCCACTAAAAAAAAAAATACTACATTTGGCTCTGATACTTTGTTGTGAATAACAGGTTTTCTTTGATTTTTTTTAAAGATTTATTTATTTATTCGTACAGAACTGGGGTACAGGGCAGAGATGCAGTGAGAGGATTCACCAGAGGCAGAGTGGGGTACAGAACAGGCAGGTCGACGAAGTACACTGCTGAGGGGAGAGGTCTGCCTCACCATGTGGATCTCCTCGGGGCAGGCGGGATTGAACTCATGCGGAAGTGGCTTAAGCTTCTTTGTGTTGTGCTTTAACCCGCTGGGCCACCAGGGAGGGCCCAGGTTTTCTTTGTTTTTTAAAAGAGCTAGTTATTTTATTCTGGTAGAGAAGTTTTAAAAATGAATCTTGTTTTGTACTTCAGAAACCCTTTGGAAAGTTGGCACAACAACACAACCATCTGCATATTTTTGTATGAAAGGTACAAAATTAACACTGACGTCATTATTCCTCAATGGAACATAAAATTGTAAAGGACTCGGAATGTATGAAGATTAAAGTGATTGAAACAGTGTAGCACGAAAGCCAGAAGGGGGCAGTATAGATACTGAAAGGACATTCTTAGTTAATTTTCTCCAGGGAAGACAGTTCAGGAAATAAAATAATATGTGCTGTATAAATTTAGATGAAAATTAAAATGTGGAAAGAGTTCAAATTATTGTAGTGCCTATTATAAAGTTATCTAATATAATTAAAGCAAGTCTAAACTATTACATTTCAAGGGAGGGATTCTCAGCTATTACTCAGTTCAATTTCCTTACTTTCCACTTCCCTCCTCCTGGGCATTTTCCCAGTCTCCCCATGAGCTCCCCCATTAAGGAGACTCACAATATTCTATGTCAGTGCATCCCACTGGTACAAGTCTCTAAGCTGCTTTTAAGTTCCTTCTTATATCTTCCAAACCTTAGCCTATCTTAATTCTGACCTAATTAGTAATAACAGGGTAATTCTAAAAAATAGAAAATTATGTTCAAAATTTAAAAAAAAAAGTAAATTTACGTTTTACTTAATAAATAGTAAAACAGATTTAAAAAGAAAAGCTAGGATATAACATACCATAAAATAATAAACTAGTATAGCGGAACTTACATGTATTTTGAAAAATATACATGTCTATATTTTGAAAAATATAGGTCTCTAGGCGCTCAAACACAAGATTAAAAACAATTTAATCATCATGGCCAAAAACATAAAAAGATCAGCATGGAGTATACATGGATGCCTAGTAATATTTTTATCACAGTCTTTAACAAGTAAGCTTAACATGTGTTATATTACTGGGTATGACTAGTCAAATCAAAGTGATACCCCTAACTTACCCTTCACTAAAAAAGTTACGTTCAGAGTGTTAGCTCCAATATGAGTCTCTGCAACATGAAAAATCTTTGAAATAAACAGATCCTTGGATATCTAGATAGACCTATATATAAATCTCCATTTATACTGGTGCTCTTTTCCCAAAAACAGTTGACAGAAACTTCAAGTGCCTCAATTTAGATACATGACTAACAATTATTTCATAAATCTTAAAAAAAAAATGATTTATTATCAAAAGAAGTATGTGTTTAAGTTTACAAGAATATTTACTGACTTAAGTTTTTAAGCAAGCTACTTATTGAGGAATGATGAGACTAGACACAGGTGAAAATTCTATGTTCTAGAGATGTGCAGAGGGTTACAGCACATGTCTTTCAAAGTTTGTTTCTGTTTTAGACCTACTGTTCTTGAAAAGCCTTAGAACTGACACTCATTTAAATAAAAAGTGCTGTTATAGTGGCCACAAAATATAGTAAAACAAATGATGGATTCAAAGAAACTGAGAGTTTGTTAAGTCTCTAGTTATTTATTCTTCCATTTAACAAATATGTATCAAAAACCTGTTTATGTGCAATTTATTATTCTAGCTGATGGCAATCGAAGAATGAACAGATAGATAAAAACTTTTGCTCTCATAAAGTTTATAACAGAGAGGGTAGATAGACAAAAATAAATAAAAGTAATACCCAGTATCCTGAAAATTAATAAGAATCATGGAAAATAATAAAGGTGAACGGAGTAGAGAGTATCATGATGTGAAGCAGGGTGAAATAATTTCTAGGTCTTTTCTTTGACTTAAGGTCAAATCAATAAGTTATGAACTAGTGATCCTGAACACTTGCTTTCCTGTAGTCTATTCTAATTCCCCATTTTAGCAATTTCAGACAGTGGCTCCTACCTGTAACTTTATCAAATAATTTTTTATCCTTATTTTTCCTATTTTATTTCCTTTTCTTTTCAGTCTCCTATTTGTAACTGCCAGATGCTACATTGGGGCAAAGAACTGCTTAGTTAATTTCTTGATCAGTCTTTGTTCATTTAATTGACTGAAGCATAAAATAATAAAAAGAAGCATAAAATAACCAAATGTAATCAGGAGCAAAGTTTTACTATTTTTGTTTCTCTCACACTTCCACACGCCCTCTCAATTCCTCAGTCTTTATCTTCCTCCCTCTCTCCCTATTTTCATCAGACTTCCAGCCCTTCCTTCATCTTATTTTTCTAAGCAGATTCTTCTCCTCTTAGGCCATTTTTATATTTCTAAGTCATAAATCATGTCTGTTTTCACATTCACATCTGTAGTATATACAAGTGCATGGGTTAGGGATATAATTAAGAGTAGATTTCTACTACCAGAATTTGCCTAGAAATTGCTAGAAGTCTAATGAGCATATCTTTTGCACACTAAATCACAATGACCTCACTCTAAAAACTTAGACACACCCCTCTAGTTTATATTTTACAAATTGGAAACCACTGAGTATGTCGTGTATTTATTATAGTGCATAGATCTTTTTTTGTAAAATGCATTTTAAAGACTATAAAACACAATTAATCTGTAATCCAGTAAATCTGGTATTATGCTAATACTCACCTATCTTTCTGCTCCAGGATTTGGCCTTTGAGTATGTTTCTGGAGTTGATTACACTGACTGGCTTTAAAGCATGAGCTGGAGAGGAAGACAGTAAGTGTTTTTATATGCATATAAACAAGTGATACATAAAATAGAAATAAAATCAAAGGCTATACATGTTGGAGCAATTTTTATGTTCTGTACCCATAGGTAGTTGTCCTATTAAAATTCAGATTTTATAATGAAAAGCCTACAGAGAAATTTATTTTTGGTCATGAGAGAGGGTTCTAGCTTATTTTGGATCTTCCACAGTAGGGTTGAGTATTTGCCCAGGAGGAAAATGACTCCTGTCTTTAAAAAAACATGCAGTATCAGCAAGCCTCGTAGAGGAATATTATGATTAAGAAAACACAATGGTCAGTTGCCCAAATCTCTGTCATGCTCCTACTGTTACTAATACTAGCTTCCTCTGTGGCGAATTTATCTAAGTGCTTTCTGTATATGAAAATTAGCCCTATGAGAAAATACTCTATTCTTATTTTAGGACAAAAAGACTGATTCATGATAAGTTAAGCAAGTCACATAAACCAAGTTTACACACCTGGAGACTGAAGCTTAAATTATTATGAGTGAATTGGATGGGAAACATCTTGAACTAGCAAATTTTTGGTTGTTTCAACCTTACATTTAAAAGGAAAAAGTAAATTTGGCGATATCTAAGATCTTCTGTATGAATTGGGTACTTTCTTATTTCTAGAAGTAAACATCTAGTTCATAATGGCAGACCTTCATGTACATGAAACACCTCAATGAAGTATGGTGTTCTCTGACTCAAAGGATGAAAAGTTCATGTGGAGATGTTTCAGCCTCTCCTGCCTAAGCACATTCCTGTCTTTGTAGTAGTAATATTAAATTTATATGTTTATAACTTATAAAGTGCTTTTATATACATTATATAATCTGAGCTAAAGTGAACTGATAAGAAAAAGATGAATTTACCTGCATTTTGTAGGGAAAAATAAAACTCAGTGGGGATAAATGAGTGACCTGAAACCCAGAGCGATTGTGTGCGTGTGTAAGTGAAAGGACAGACACCTGCAGAATCTGCCCATCTTTTCACACTAAGACAATGGCTTTGCTCCTAAATATTTGATACCATATTTAAATTGGATTGGTTTCTGACATGAAATAGAAATAATGTCAGATTCAAATGCTGTCCCTTATAATCTTTCTTGCCCAAAACAGCTAATCTCTTTGTAAAATCTGAATCATTGTTGCCTCAGGAAATTTCAAAGAGGATTAAGTAAATGTAAAATGCGAATATAATAACAAAGTTAATACTCAAGACATCTGAGCTACCATCAGTATTAGAGTGGAAAAGAATTAACTGAGATGAACTAAACCTATAAATAATGTAAATTTATCTTTAAGCCTGATATCTTGGTTTCCTTATAAACTCACTTCTCACTTCTGTTGAGATGAAGGGAGATGGATGGATTTTTCAGAACTAAATGGATTCTTGGAGAGCTGATATAACCTAAATAAAAATAGTGTTGTAAATTGTACTTTTTCTAAGTTAATTATTATCATTCACAGAAGAGAGCTGAAGAATGATTGGAAAACAACAGCTAGGTCACAGGTGGCTTAGGAGCAGGAGAGTAATTAAAATGTGCATTGTATAGTTTCATGTCAGCCAGTAAGAATAACAGATCTGGTTCAAACCCTGGATTTCATAAATGGGAAGAAGCAGGGGAGTTACTTGTATAAGGACTCAATTTTTCAGTGTCAGAATGAGAGCCAAGGACTCTTGATGATTCTGCCACTGTTTTTCCACAATGTGGCTTTTTACTCCCACTGTGGTGTCACATAAGTTAATCAGACTTTTTAAATGGAAAATGGTCTACTTTTTAAAGGAATTCTTGAACAGCCTCAAGCCCAACAAGGATAAATTATAATATGTAAATCACATTCCCGGCCAGGCAATTCTGATTCCCCTAAACATTCCCCCTTTTTTTTTCTCTTTGGTCATTGATAAAATTGCATAAAATATGGTTTTCCTTTTACAAACTAGGTAGAGAGATAAAAACATGTATATGTATCAATAGTGAACTAATTTTATAATTGCTTTTTAAAACTTATTTTTTTAGCATTAAAGATCCAGAAACACTGACTTTCAAAAATATATTCTATTTTTTTAAGATTTCTTCATTTATTTATCTATCTATTTGTTTGTTTATGCATACAGAACTGGGGTACAGCCAGAGGTGCAAGGGCGGTGAGAAGATTCACCAGAGACAAACTGGAGAGAAGAACAGGCAGACAGACAAAATACACTGCTGATGGGAACAGCGGATGGGACAGGAGAAGTCTGCTGAGCCATGTGGGTCACCAGAGAGCGAATTCCTGCTGAAGCAGCTGCAGACAGCTTCATAGTGCTGTCCTTTAACCTGTTGCACCAAAAGTGAGGGCTCACAAATTCTATTTCTAGTACAAAAAGTAATCTCTACTCACCACCTGTTTTGTGACTAATAGATACGGTGGTCTTGAAATAGTCACCTAAGCTACAAAAATAGAATTCTTAGAAAACAGAGATAAAACTTACAAGAAAAATGTTACAAGTCCTTCAGTGAACATACTCATCTCTCCCACCCATCAAAGTAAAATTTTGTCAAGTTTATCAAGCAAAGGCAAATTTAATAAGGCAGCTGGTATTTCACAACACAGACTTCTAGAAGATTGTTGATCAATTCATACAACTAGGTTAGTTACAAGAGCTCTTCTTATCACTTGAAATTATTAGAGTTGGGGATAAAGTATCAAGCTCCTCCTGAAATAAATGATTGCCTGATTCCTTTTTATGTTTCTTGAAAAAGGTGTATTGTCTTTTGCTATTTGTTAGTGGAGAACATGATATAGATGGAATTTTGGTGTTTGGTACAGAACTGGCTGAGATGATCTGGTGACACAGAAGGACTGGGCATATGATAGGACATTGAAATGTTGTTCAGCTGTTTACTACTAGTAATATACATTATATGCGATGATAAGAAACAGCAGCATATTCATCTGTCAAACAAGAGTGCAGAAAGCTTTCGCAACTCAATATAAAGCTCAGGTATAAATATGCATCTCAATATTTGGAGGCTATTGCTTCCTCTCTCAATGAGAGAAGACATGTCAATGAAGTTTATGTCCTTTTTAATAAATGCCTCTTTTATTTTTTATTATGTATTTTTAAACAGTAAACTAGTCTTATGGACAATTTGCTACTCAGCAAAAAATTTTTTTGGTAAAGAAATCTACTTCCAGTCTGCTGAGCATGATTTCTGATGGTGAAGTAGAAATATCTTTTCATGTAAGACAAACTTAAAGAATATTACTTTCAACTTGTTTTACTGTTGAGGACTCAAATACATCAGAAAGGATATAAATGCAGAGAAGGCATGATGTTTGTTTCCAAAACAGGATTTAAACAAATATGAATTCCACAGCTTTCAGAAGATAAGAACTACTAATATTATTGATTGGCACAGATCCAAAAGAGAAATTTGTCAGTGAAATGGCTTTGTTTTTTAATTTCATGTAAAGGAAAAACTACATTGCACTGACCTTGTTATAAACTAGTTTCATACTTTTATGACCTTTGCATCCAAATATAGTGTAAAGTGAAATAAGCTCACGTAGTAAAAGATGCTGGGACACAACTCTGAATTGATCCTGTTTACTCTAAAATGATGAAATAGTTAACTGGCTTTATAGTGTTGTTTTAAAAAGGTAAAGGACAAAGATCACTTCTCATAGGAGAAACCATCCATACGTGTGAAAAGGGTTGATGTTTATGCAAAAGTTTCAGGGTCAGGAAGACTGATGGCTGGCCTAGTAAATTAATGCTAGATTAACATCCTGTGTGCCACTTTCGGTAAAGACCAAGCCACTTCATTTATAAATGTTTATCACTAGAACTAGAATAACGAAAATTAGTAAATAAACCCAGTTGTTATTGTGTAAAAGACAAATATCATGCTTCTTTGTCTTTCCTGTTACTTCTTTGTTTCTCTACTTCAACATGCCATAGATGTTTAAAATATTTATTATTTATTTGACACAGATTTATGCTGCCTGTTTTTAATTTAAAAGACAGTAGCATATTTAGATCCATAATATCCTAGACTGGGAATAGAGTTTATAAATCATCTAATCTCTTATTTCATAGATGGAGAAATATACTCTGGGGCAGAACGTTTTGGTTAAAATAATAAATGAGGTTGATTATTTAACTGATGTGCTCCATGCATTTTGTTCCTACAGGAAGGAGCCCAGTCCCTCATGAAAGCAGGATAAATGAAGAAAAACGCATAGTAAAGAGTCAGCTAATTTAAGGGGAGGTAGTGTGCCTCTTAGGTTTGTTTTTTTATTGTGTCCTCACCTTTTTCTTCCTCACTGAAGTCCTGAAGGAAATTCGTGAAGTTTCTACTTTTAGTCAGCAATTCCTCGTATGTGCCCATTTGTGCTACTCTGCCGTTTTCCATCACAACAATAAGATCCATCTGTGGCAGAAGTGTGAGGTTGTGGGTGACTAAAATACGAGTCTGAAAAACAGTATTTTATTCTGTCAGTTACAAAACAAGTGGCAAAAATAATCTCTTTTAAACAAAGCTGCTGTCATTTGTTTTTCTGTCTTTACTATTTTAGAATGTAATTCCTGCTAGATACAAGTTTCAGACAGCATATGTATATTTCACAATGAATGATGATTTGCTGCTAGACAAACAAAGATAGTTGGAAAATGTGATTTTAACCCTTTGGCTTAAGTATTTAGATGCACTATAAAAGAATCAGCAGCCTACCAAATTCAAAGCGATTTCGCATCTGCCATGCTTACTTATTTTTTAAAAAATCTGGTGTGTTACAAAAGTATATTTGACTCCAGTCATAAATTTTAAATCTTACCAATTAATGTATACATACACGTAAACTCGAATGAGTAGTTTTTATTTTACATAAGTGTCCATAAGTAAAGACATTTATCTATAATCTAGGTAGCCATACCTTTTACCATCCCACACTGCTAATGTTTTCCAAGAGTGTTTATATTAATAAATCGATAGACACATAGGTCGGATCCTCTACTTGTTTGCATGCCATGACATCCTCACCGCCAACGGGGGACTCAGATATAAGCTTGCCAGTTTTTGATGGAGGCAACTGAAAAAGCAGGTCACAGAGCCCATATGTAGGAACAAGTCTTTGTTACAGCAACATAGATACGCAGGTAGCAACAGCATTATCTGTGCGGCTGGCCTGGAGGGTGCAGGTGCCCAGTGGATCTGGGCCTGGTGGTGTCAGCTACATTGGGCCTCCCGGGAAAGCCTCAGCTTTTCTGGGACCTCTTGGGCTCCCCAGCGCCGCCTGTTGGCATTGGCAGCAGCAAGGGCAGCAATAGCAGCAGCAGTAGCAGCAGTGGCCCTTTGCATGGCCAGTGAGAGGCCTGTGAGTGCCCTCACCACCCCAGGAGACATTAGCTTGTATTCGACTTACAGGCAAAGCCGGCACAGGGCCAAGCTTAGGCCTAGTTTATAGAAGTATGTTTTGCTCATGCGAACTGTACATCAAGGTCACATTATTGACTGCTTTCTGCACAAGCACACAACATCTCAAGGCTGCGTGTTATCTACCAGGGACCTGGGCTGCAAGGTCATGGTGAGAAATACTGAGAAAATTCTTTGTTTTCCCACAGGCCCTAGAACGTAGGAAATCACAAAGCTTTGTGGTTAAACAGACTTTTAAAAATCTCAAATGACTGAGTAGATCAGTCATTTGACACCCAAGTTTCTTCATATTTAAGTGCCTCTGATAACACCTGCTTTGGGTTAGCTGTAAGAACAAACTATTTTAAAGTGTCAAACATGGCATGCTGTTGATAAACATGAATTCTCTTTTGGAACCCTTCAAAAACTACTGAATTGGTCCTCCCTAGTGGCGCAATGGGTTAAGACATAATGTAACACTGCAAACTAACTACAGTCACTTCAGTGCAAATTTGATCCCTGCCCCAGGGGTGATCCACATGGCACGACAGACCTCTCCTGTCTTGCCCACTGCTCCCCTCAGCAGTGTCCATCATGGATCTGCCTGTTCTGCTCCCCACTTTGTCTCTGGTGAATCCTATCACCACTCCCATACCACTGGCCTATAACCAGTTCCGTATGCATAAATAAATTTTTTTTTTTTTTTTTAAAGATTTATTTATTTGTGCATACAGAACTGGGGTACAGGCCAGAGGCTCAGGGGTGGTGAGAGGCTTCACCAGAGACAGAGTGGGGAACAGAACAGGCAGATTGACGAAGTACACTGCTGAGGGGAGCAGCGGGCGGGTCAGGAGAGGTCTGCCGCGCCATGTGGTCATCCCTGGGCCAGGCGGGAATTGAACTCATGGGGAAGCGGCTTTAGATTCTCAGTGTTGTGCTTTAACTCACTGCACCACCAGGGAGGGCCAATAAATATATCTTTTACAAAACTACTGAATTATTATTATTGCTATTATTTTTTATGTTTTACATGTAACAATGGATTTAATATTATAGATTTGGCCCTTTTAAAAGCTAGCTGATGCATAAAGTCACTCTGCTTACTACCTTAAGTGCTGCACAGACAGAAAGGTTGTCACAGCTTTTCACTATTTAAACAAATGATTCCTTCCACTAGACAAGGTGAAAAACAATTGAAAACTGGGACTCAGGAAAAAAAATTAACCTAGAATTATCCTATCTTGAAATTTCAGCAGGTGAGAGACTAGCTTCTAGCACCTCTTACTAAAACCTTTTACCTAACTAGTAGTTATAGGAATTTACAGAGTTGATCGAGAGAAGACAGGATTCTCTTTTAAACTTTGTTTTGCAGAGCGGAACCATGTTCCTCACAACACTTAATGGCTCTGAGGGCCAGGTGAAGCTCTGAGTGCAAGGGTGCTCAGAGGAAGAATCCCAGAGAAGAAGGGCGCTTGCCTTCTGGCTCTGAGCTCACAACAAGGCTTTGGGGGACTTTAAGGAGACACATGGAGAGCAGACATGACAAGACACCTGGAAGAGACAGGTGGGTGAGAGACCTGTGGGGAGGTTGGAAATGGCAGCCATTATCTTGACTTGTACTTTGAGTTGGTTCCTTTGTTCCAATTTCCTGGGGCTTGCTTCCGATCCCTTCCTTAGCGTGCCTTAGATTAATGGCAAATTTCTGGCCTTCAGTGACACCCCTTCAGGCCAACCCTGTGTGAGAATTTACTCTGAAGATATGGTAAGTTTGAGTGTTTTATTGGTAAACAATTATCGTTTCTTCTTTTCTTTATGAGCTCTCTTCTATTAAAAGTTGTTTACACTAGAAAGATGCTTTGTCTTCATGTACACTAGGCCAGATCCTATAAAATGCAAGTTTTGGGGGAGACCTAGGATGCCCCTTAGTCATGTGCTAATAGTTTAAGTGGGTCTTAAAATTCTGACAGACTTCTAGTTTAGTTATTTCCATTCAAAAGTACCCACTTAGGGGCCCTCCCTGGTGGCGCGGTGGGTTAAAGCACAGCATTAAGAAGCTAAAGCCACTTCTTCATGAATTCGATCTCTGCATAAATTCAATCCCCGCCTGTCCCGGAGATGATCCACATGGCGTGGCAGACCTCTCCTGACCAGCCCGCTGCTCCCCTCAGCAGTGTACCGTCAGTTCTGCTCCCAACTCTTGTCTCTGGTGAATCCCCTCACATGCCCCTGCACCACTGGCCTGTACCACAGTTCTATAGATCTAAATAAATAAATACTTAAAAAAAAAAAGTACCCATTTTACTAACACCCAGTTTTAAGTAGTAATCAAAATAATTCTGTTTCATAAAAGTATTATACATTAAAATATTTTTAAAAGGAGTCAACTAAACTAAAAACAACCCAGATTAACACATAAATCCTCTTCGGAAGTGGTCTTAACCAGTGAGATAACACTCACATAAATCACTTCAGAGTAAGCTCTTAAGTAAAACTTTTAAAAAACTTATTAAAATTTGTGTACAAAATTCATTTTTATATGATATTTTACTACATTGCTTCTCCCCTAAAAGTATAAATGATCCTGTGTTTACCTTGTTTTTCAAAAGACCTGAAGAACCAATGACTTTTTCAAAAAGTTGTTTTCCAACGTGGACATCAACTGCAGACAAGGGGTCATCCAAGAGGTAGATGTCGGCCCCACTATACACAGCTCTGGCAAGACTCACTCGATGCTTCTGACCCCCACTTATATTCACACCCTGAAATGGAAACATTAGGAAAAAAAAAAAAAAAAAAAACCCCCACTTATATTCACACCCTGAAATGGAAACATTAGGAAAAAAAAAAAAAAAAGATGAGAGGGAAAATGTGTAAATCCTAAGCAGGTGCAATTTGTCCAGAATCTCTTCTGTACTGTGGCTAAGTAATAGCTCAAAATTAACTCTAAAGCCTTTCTTTATGCAAGAATTCCAGAGCCCTATAACACCCCATTTCCTAGAGCCACTATCTGGTGCATACTAATAGATTTCTCCGCTTCCCCTTAATTGCTTACTCTCAAAAGGAGATACTAAGAATTAAGAAAAAAGACTTTATAGTCGCCTAACTCTGAAAAGTCTTGTCTGTGGAATATTAAATAGGACTTTTGGCTGCAAGCCATATACTGACGCCAGTGATCATTTTTAAATTGATACATAGGAAATGGAGAATAATAGCTAAATTACCAAAGGAGTAATCAACATGTCCTATTTTCTTCTGTAGAAAGATTAGTACAAGTCTTGTTGGCAAAAGTACAAGTCTAAGAAACAAGAAGAAGGTATATAGATCACTCCATGTGAGAATTAAAGTCGACACGTACAGCCATGTATGGAGAATTATGGGGTCAAGCCCAATTTGCTTGATTTATCTTATATTTAGTGTTTACAGATGTGATTTAAAAGCTTTCCATGGAGAATAGAACTTAGCCGGCAACCTGTAATTGTTAAATGCTATTGCTTTTCTTCTCATTTCTAATCCTCTTACTCAGCAAATATCTCATTTATATAACTGTGTGCTGAGTGTTAGAGTAGTACATGGTAATCAACAGTAATGAAGACTCTCATGAAGATATTATGAAGATATTAGTGGGGAAGACAGACAGAAGTTATATGCAAATAATATAATAGATATCTGTGTTTATATGTGAGCATGCTTGTACTTTTATGTGCCTAAAATAGGCCCCACTTCATGGGTTCATCATCATCATTTGATGAGTGTAAAATATTTAGGTCAAATCTAACCCTGAGGACTGACACAATCATCACTATTACAAATATAACTGAATCACCCCTGTCTCCAATCCATCCTCGGCCTTGTCATCACTTTTCCAGCAATGTCATCATCTTGCTTAAAGTCTTGGACGCTCATCTCTCCCAGCCATCATTCACGACTAACAACAAGTTACTGGAAGATACTTACATGTTGGTATTAACTCCTCATTCAACCGCACCCCCAGTGCTGCCTTCCAGTGGCCATGGTTGGTCAAATGGACTAGACTGCATTTTGAAAATGGAGCAGAGGCTTTCTCTCTGCTTAGAAGCTGGTATACTTCCTTTTCAATTTCAGGCTACTTATTCTTCAGTCCTTTTAGACAACCACCTTCCAGCCAGTATTCCAAATAAAGTGACTCATTCCCTCTTCTTGTCTTGCTTTGGTTACTCGCCCATCCCATAGCTAAAATTGGCAGTCTGTGTTATTAGTAAGACCTGGACTTCCCCAAATGATCAGATAAGTTTTTCTAAAATGTCCAGAGAAGGCTTTTTCCAACTGTGGCATGTTGGCCTGTAAATTCAGTTGTGTCCCACAAGCTTCAGGAGAAACTGTTAACTACTACTTCACTACCTCAAAGCATGACAGTTACTCAGACGTAAGGTCAGCCCCTAAAATAACCTTTTTTGGTTGAAGAAACACTATGCTATGGAAAGCCAAACATGTAGAGCACCGGGCTTGGTCATGTAGTCCCCTTCTTCTCTCTTTGACACCCCAGACCTCAACCCCAATCCTTAATTTAGGATGTAATTCCTCAGTCTGTCCATTTACTATAGAATTTGAAGTCATGTAAATTCTCTAAACATAATTATATATTCTAATATATAATTATATATTAACTACATATATATAATTATATATTCTAATATATAATATATATATTTTAATTTTCTAAATATTTATGCATACAGAACTGGGGTACAGGCTAGCTGTAGGGGGTGGTGAGAGGATTCACCAGAGACAGTAGGGAGCAGAATAGGCAGATAAACTGCAATACACTGCTGAGGGGTGCAGTGGGTGTGTCAGGAGAGGTCTGCTGTGCCCTGTGGGTCAGCTCCCTGACTGGGGATCAAACTTGTGCTACAGTGACTGTGGTAGCTTCATAGTCCTGAGCTTTAACCTGTTGTTTTACCAAGAAGGGTCCTAAACATAATTATATTTTTAAGTAATTAATGTATTCTTTTTCTTCTGCTGATTTGTCTGATGTTCAGTTGGTGCTTGACCATGCTGAGCAAAACTTCAGAGGGAGAGGGGAGGATTACCCCCACGTGTCCCGAGGCTGGCCTTGAGTTTGCCTGGGCTTCCTTCTGTCTGAGTCTGTGTCCTACCTAGTTCATCCTTACAATGTTGGGCATTAGTGCTGAACACTAGTAAATAATGGTAAAGAAGGTATGTTGATATTGCTAATAATTAACAGCTAGTGCCTACGATCCACTAGACTATAGTCCCTTGAGGGCAGGGTGATTGCTGTTTCATCATTATGTACATGATTAGAACATACTAAGTAAATAAATATTTATAATTAGTTACAAATGCCAAAGGAAAAGATGAATAAAAGGCAAATTCTGCATTTATTACCTTGAGTTAAAAACTAGCTTCCTTTTGAAAGATTTCATTGCATGTTTTCTTTAAGATTTATTTATTTATGCATACAGAACTGGGGTACAGGCCAGAAGTGTTGGGGGTGTGAGGATTCACCAGAGACAGAGTGGGGAGCAGAACAGGCAAAGCCTCTGAAGTACACTGTTGAGGGGAACAGTGGCAGGCCAGGAGAGGTCTGCTGTGCCATGTGGGTCACCCCTCTGGTGGGGATTGAATTCATGTAATAGTGGCTGCGATAGCTTCATAGTGCTGATTTAACCCATTGCACCACTAGGGAGGGCCCTAATTACATGTTTATTTTAAAGTGCATTGAGAGAAATTTAGCTATGTAAAGCAGAAATTATAAGTGGCAATATCCTTTATTAAATCTATATTTTCTATTTTGCATATTTTGCCTTTAAATCTAGAGTACAGTATCAGCTACTTAATGTTACAAGAGGTTGGTTTTTCCGCTTAATGTTCAGTATGTGGTAACAAATTGAATAAGTCACAGCAGTTGTGATTTTAACTTTGGCACCATTTTGCTTAGGGATGCTGAAGATACCAGAGGGAAAAACAAGAATTAGAAAAGGTTATATCTATTTAATAGCTGGAGAAATACATCTGCAAAGTAAAGGCTGTGAATAAAGCCAGTATAATTCCAATTTTGGAGTAGATTTTGTCTTAAATTCTAGCTTCAGATACTCCAGTTTCTGTAATTTTGTTATGTATTTTTTTGCTGATCATATAACAAGACAATTAAATAACAAAGGAGTAGAAAGAAAAATGCCTAACAATGTTATGCTAATCTCTTTTCAGAAATTCAAAGTACTTATTAAGGATTATTTATTCATCTTCATAGCGCAGGAGTCTTAGGCAGAGAGAGGCTGGTTTAGGGTTCATGTTTAATTAACAGGGAATTTAGTCATGGGTTAGTGATAATCTCTTAGGTTCAAACTTTGGCTCAACATATCTTGTTTTGTTTTATATTAACTTCAAAACACTGGGCAGTGTAATGACTATTCATTAATGTAATGAAAAATAAATAGAATCAATAAAACAGGATAAAGAACAAGATGACTGGGAAACCAGCTTCTTTTAAGCAGGATGAGCAAAGATGTAACAGGAACATGGATGACAGCATCATCTCAAGTCTTTTTAGAAGCAGGCCTGCATGCCGCCATGACACTCATGTTGTACTGTGCCAAAAAAAAAAAAAAAAAAAAAAGGAACAGGCCGAAATGAATTCTTTTCTGCCAAGTCCCAACAAGACTTAATTGCAGTTCAGCCTCTCCCCAAGGTAGAATCTTAAACCAATAAATCTGGAGTTTCTCAGTTGCTAGTGAGGTCATGTGTGTAGGACTTCCATGCCTTCTCCGCAGGGGTGGTGGCTGTGCCTGAAATAATCTTTTCTTTTCCTAATAACTGTCTCCTTCCCTCTTCTGACTATGCAAGCCTTTCATTTTGTACAACTTCTTGCAGGACCTTTTCCGTTGTTAAATGGGGTGTTGCTCAATTCATGAATAGAATTACATAGTAAAGTCACATAAGGACTTCAAATAGATGAATTTTGTTTTCTTGGTACAGTCTTTAGCTTGGCTTATGCATAAGAGATAGGGACAAAAACAAACTATATTCACATTAAACAGTAAACATCAGTATACCAACAACTGAAACAAAGCCTGATCCAGTGGGTGGGTTTTCCTTCCCATGTAGATGTTAGCAACAGAATTTCCTGCTGATTTTTTTAGTCTGTCTTATAAATAGTCATTATAAGTAACCACTCATCTTCCATTCTAAATTATAACTGTATCACTCTTTGAGACCTCAGGAAAAAGGTTATTAAGATATTATTAATACAGATTATTATTCCTACATATGATAAATTATCTTTTCCTTACTCTTTTTTATTTTTTTAAATATATTCAAAATGTTGAGTTAACTTTCAAAATAATGTGTTAGGAACAGAGCTGAAAAATCACCCACATGCTCATTGGGTCAATGTTTTCCTTACTCTTTCTCCAATTTCAGTTTGATCTCCATTTGGTAACTGCTCCAAATCACAAAGGAGAGCACAGGCTTCCAATACACGCTCATAAAACTGTTTCTGCATGACGGAGCCAAAGAGAATGTTTTCTTGCAATATACAATTCTGAATCCAGGCCTGCTGGGGAACATAAGCCACAGAACCCTAAAAAGAAGAAACAAAAGAAAGCTCTTAATGAGGGAGAAGATAATGCATGATTCATCAAGTTAAAAGAATATTTGTAGTCCCTGGCTTTCCTGTCTTTTATTTTTTAAATTTAGATTATTTCTTAAAAGATACCTATATCCTCTATCCTATTTTAGTATATGTATTTACTAGCATTCCCTTCAAATGAATTTGCACTTACTTGCTTTCATGCTAGTTTCTATCACAAAGTTATTATTCCTGCTGGATTTATCTGCAGATCTTGAGTGTATTAGTCTGCTCAGGCTGGAGCACTTAAACAACACAATTTGTTTTCTCAGAACTCTGAAGGCTTGATGTCTGTGATAAAGTGTCAGTGGGATTTGGTTAGTTCTGTGGCCTGTCTCCTTAGTTGGAGGTGGCTATCATGTCTCAAATCTTCACATGGTCTCCCCACTGTGTGTGTGTATCTGTGACTTAATTTCTTTTTCTTGAAGGATATCAGTCTCATTAAATGATTTCCCATTCTAGTGATAGACTTTTAACTACCTCTTTAAAGACCTCATTTCTAAATACATTCACATTCTGAGAGACTGGGGATTTGGATTTCAACACAGGAATTTTGGGAGCCACATTTCACCCCAAAACATTAAGACAAAATTTGAAATAAAAGCTGCTTATTTGGGATCAATCACTATAAGAAAAGGAGACAGAAGGATTGGAGAGAGAGAAAAGGCACACAGCACTCCACCCCAACAAAGATTTGGACCACCCTTCAGAGAGCTGGAGGAGCATCATTCATTAGATCTGCTCCCTGTGAGGCTGAAGTGGTGTGGTCTTTAGGAGGGGGACCCCAGAGCCAAGCTCTGGGCAGTTGAGACCAATCCTGAAGGAGCTACTTTGCTGGAAGTATCCTCACTGCTGTACAGCAAATGTTAGCAGAGAAATCTGGGTGGCACATCTGTGTGCCTACCACATAATCTTCAAATTCAGTTTTATGAGTCCATATTTTGAAGCAATTCCTAAATATATGACCATCTGCTGCATACACTATTTAATTATTTTTAAAAAGGAAGCGGTGTATTTGAAGTGGAGACCTACCATTTCATTCTGCCCATGGACTAAAAAAGCACAGATTTTGGCATTCTGACTACTGTGCACTCTGTAACAATACCAGCCATTTACAGTGTTTTCTGATATAGACATTTATATGACTACTTTAAAGATCAAGTATTAACTTTTAATTCTTGTTGGTTGAGCATATAAAGCATATAATTCTGATCTATGTGTTTCTATAGAGTAGTGGTTATCATGTTTGCCTAACAATATAATTGTGATCTGACTTGACCTTGAACACAAAAGCAGTTGCTCTTGAATTGACTTGCCTAGTGCATAACCTTTGATTATAATAGCATATTAAATCAGTCTCTGGAAGATTGAAATGTGAGCACTTACTACGTATTAGGTAATATAAAGAGAACAAAAGATAAGAAGTAGGAAAAGGACTGAAGAACAGTCAAAATGGCATACAATCTAAAACAGAAACTAAGTACTGCCCCGAGAGGTGTGAACTTGATCTACTGATAGAACAGGAGCTGAAAAAAGTTACTGATTTTCAGACACTTAAATTTTCCCTCTTAATAATGTAATTATTGTTGCCTCCTCACAAACAAATGAAATGTATTTTTGTTTCACTTCATTCTTAATAATGAAATACAATAATGAATTTGCTAATTCAAAACCATTCTCCAAATCACTGGTGTTCCATCAAAACACACTGAATATGGAATGTTCTGCATGGAAAGTGGTTATTCTGGGCCTTTGATAGAAGAATATGGAATCTAGAAAGAAGGCTTGGTTGAGTTTGAGTGTTACAGTGTATGCCACCAAAAATGTTTATTTGAAACCTTGAGAAACAGAAACATGTCCATAAAGGCTTTTTGTAAACTTTCAATGTTAAACTGGCCATGACATTCTTATGGTTGTCCTTACTAAAGTAGAGATAGTAAGAATGATACTTATAAATTTAGTATTTAAAATGTTTTGGGACATAATTCATAATGTGATAGTTCAAATTCTGTCACGAATCCAAACCAGTGAGCTTCCTGAAGGATGAAGTGGCCAGTTACCCTAGATAGCTCTTCTCTGATAACTGTTTTTAATATAAATAGTGTTCTCTGCATTACTTTCAGCAGTAGCATTCTTATGGCATCTTTCATCACCATGAACATTTCCTTAATTATAAACCCTCAAAGGCATCAGAAATACTTTTTAAATCTCGCCATGAGAGCCTTCATGATCATAATGAGGATTACAATAACTATAAATATCTATAGGGTGCCAGCTGCCTCTGTGCAGAGTACGAGGCTAAGTCTTTGCATATTATCAGATTCAGTCTACTTCTTGGTCTTTTAAGCTTATCATTATCATTTGTGTGTTAGGTGATACCTAGATTTGATTAACATTTATATGTGACTATCATTTTTTTTAAAGATTTATTTATTCATACAGAACTGGGGTACAGGCCAGAGATGTGGGGTGAGAGGATTCACCAGGGACAGAGTGGGGAGCAGAACAGGCAGATCGACAAAGTACACTGCTGAGGGAGCAGCGAGCGGGTCAGGAGAGGTCTGCCACACCATGTGGTCACCTCCGGGGCAGGCAGGACTCGAACTCATGCAGAAGTGGCTTTTGGCTTCTTAGTGTGGTGCTTTAACCCGCTGCGCCACCAGGGAGGGCCGTGATTATCATTTTTATTGCTCAATTTCTTTTTTCAATTTTGAGTAAATGGATACCTCTTCTGATTGTTTTATTTCAAGCAGAAATTATTAAGTTTTTTATAATTAGAGTCATTTTATCTACATCTAATTTAAGCCAATAGCTAATGTTAGTATGCCCCTCACTAGACACTATAAGGGTTGCATATTCTTTGTTTTCCTACTCAATGATTACTTGGTGACATAGCCTGAAAAAGTAAATAAAAACAAAATCAATATGGCATACATTATATCTTAAAAGATACTACACTGGCCTAGGAAATATTACAATTGTCTTAAACAACTATAGAGAAATGACTGATTTACCATGAAGGGCATGTTGTTAACAAGATACTAAAATGAAGGTTACTGTCTTTTTCAGTAAGTATAACCTTATACAAAAATAACCACATAGACATACTTAATCCTAAATTAAGTAATAATGCTGAAAAGAATAGAACAACAAACAATTATTAAAAGGCTGGAATAAGAAAAGATATAAGGATAAGAGAAAAGAGATATTGTGAGGAAAAAATAAAGAATTGAAGTTGATTTTTCCTAGACAGAAGAACTATGAAGAAACTGATCTCAGTGATACAGAGCTTCTCCATCTTGTCCAAAGTAAGAAAGAAAGATTATGATAGAAGTCTACCCAAAAGTTAGAGCTAAGGAACAGATCACTGTATAGTCATTCATTTCTAAACAGAGGGGAACCATTATTGAAATTTAAAAGTAGGGGAAAAAATACTTGTGAGTAGACAGCCTCACAGTCTGAAGTTTAAATTTAAGTGCAATCTATTAATATTATTACTTTTCTGAGATTCCTTTTGGGTTAAAGATAAGACTCACAAATTACTGTAAGACATCCTAGAAATGGATTGGACATAACTGCTTAGGGAATCTTACAATGAGTGATAATTAGGAGCCTAATCATATTACAGCATAAATCACATTCGTTATTCTGTAATTGCAATTCAGTTAATATTATCAAAGAATCACCATAAGCATTCACAGATGATTTGCTGAAGTATTTGGATGACAGAATGCTATTACTATTCCATCCATAGCTAATCAATTTCTGTGGAAATTGAAATGTTTGTTAGAAACTAGAAATGACCATTAAATACTTGCATCTCCAGTTTAACTGGATACATTTTTATTGACACTAATGATATGCTGATTATGCAGTATATGACACAGAGTTGTAAAATAATATTTTGTTGGCTTTACCTTTCTTTGGACTACTCCTGAAAGTTTCTCCATTTCTCCCAGAATGGCAGAAAGCACAGATGATTTTCCAGACCCAACTTGCCCTACGATGGCCACTAAGGCTCCTTCTGGAATCTTTATGTTCAAGCTGTATGAAGAGAAAATGAACGAGATATTCCTTGTTACAGTTGTTTTTAATATATACTCCTAGACAAATATTTCACTGTTTTATAACACTGAACTAAATTCCTGAAATTGCTGCTTCTTATGTTTTTTTTCTATATTAATCTTCTAAAAAAATCTTAATCTTCTAAAATTAAAACAACAAAATAGAGGAAATGAATGCCAAAAGAAAATCTTAATCTTCTAAAATTA